AACTGTTAGTTATTTACAGGTGTAGTTTTCTGTGGATTAATAATTTCTTACTCAGTTGAGAACATAAAAAATTGTTGTTATAATGTAAAACCTGTCAGTATTTGATGTGTTCTTTGGCTTATTTTTTTGTGTAATATAGTTTTTGAAATAAACTAATAAACTAAAGTATTTAGTAACAGTAACACTGAGCCTTTGTGTTGCTAGAACGAGCCATAATTGAAGCAGATTATTTGACATTCCTTTTACTATTATATTTGGTGGAGAGTTTTTTTCTGAATGTGATTAAGCTATCAGAAACAGAAACGAGGGGGGGCGGGGTGCGGGGTTTGGAGTCTGCTCCGTTAGAATAATAAGCCACAGCTGCTTTTGCTCTGCACCTGCTTCCTGTGTTAAAGTTGAATGGGTTGAATTCTGGTCTACACCCAGCTTTTTAACCAACATCAGGAGCATCGCTGCTTCTTACTGTCCTGTTGCCAGATCCTTTTAGCCAGGTGTTCGGTCTTTCATTCACTCCTGACTGAAACATTTCTGCTTCTTCCATTTCTTTTCCTAATATAACGAGTAACGCTTCGAAAAGCCTCAATTTAAAAGCCTTTGGTCAGAACTGAAATGAGAGATGTAACAGCACTGTAAACATTACCTTTAAACATGGTGGTGATTGATTATTTCCCTCTGACCTGTGCTGGAATTAATGTAAATGTTGTTTTAAATGAGCAAAGCTCTTTATTAACAGTGATATTGTTTTTTTCTGTTCATGTCTGTATTAGTTGACAGATACACAGTTGGAGAGCAGCTACTACAGTCCTCAGAAAGTCAAATCCAGAGAGGTTCTGTGTTTGGAGCAGGAGGGAATCACCATTGAGGTATGATTTTTACAGCCGGTGTTCTGCCAGATGAGCGTACCCGGTCAAACCAGCACACCCATAGTCATTCCCATTTATCCCTTTAGTTTATCCCTTTAGTTTCTGTACGAAAAATAAACTTTAAACTACCTCAACAGGTATAATCCCCTTTAGTCATGTACAAAAAAACTTTTTAATTACTTACTTTTTGGAGTTTTTTGAAGCGTATGGCGATAAACGTAAATCTTGCGCATGGGTATTCTGGTCTGACAGGGTATGCTCATCTGACAGACTGGTCTGCTAACATGCTGGACTGTCCTTTTGGTATACTTTTAAACTTAGAAACCAAATCATCTGCTTTTCTTCTAATGAATACAAAATCTGACATTTTCCTACGTTTGCCTAATTAAGAGTTTATAGAACAGATCATTGGTTATCATTGTGTGAAAAATGGGAAATATTCATTTGGACAAATTACAGCAAGATAACAAAGCACCCGAAAATAGCTTTCCTTTTTATTTATTTTAGTATAAATCACAGTGGTATATCTGTTTAAGTAAAATGTTTGCGTTTGATTGATACCAACTCTGAACTGATCTCAGATGTTTAAAGTTCTGCCAGCTCACTGCTTCGCAGTCTGCAGTGTGTGGTGTATGACTTGGACCCAAGTCTGATCATTTCCGCCCTTTTTCCACCGAGAACGCTTTTAGTCTGATTACCTGGACTGACTTGGAAGGAAGTTTCTCCTTTAGGGTTTCTTCCAGATGTGAAAATTCAAACAGATTTCCAATTTCTGTAATTTATGCTCCTGCTGGACAGGGGTGGGGGGGTTGGTATTCTGAAGTTGGAACAAATACAAAACCTAAAGTAAGGTTGGTGAGGGTGGGAGGGTTCAGCCACACGTGAGTCACATCTCAGCTGTTTGCTGGGTGGATGAGCACTAATGAGGGCTAAATGCCGAACATGCAGAGTAATATGAAAGGAAAACAGAGGCTCGCTTTATTCTTCATTGAAATGTTCCTAGAAAGCATTTAGTCAGGTCACTGAATTTATTAATTCAAAGGGAAGATCTCCCAGAATTCATTCGCATTTTTTCATTTCAGTTAAAACATTATATTTTCAAGTACAACTAAACTGTTAGCGGTTTAAAAGATTTGGGCTAAAACCCTTTTTTTTAAGTTTTGAAGCTCACAGATGTATAAATGCATCTATTATCATCCGTTGTTTTTCTAAAATCAAATCCATATTAATTTGGTAACTCCATGTAGACAGGGTCATGAAAAGAGACCAATGTAGGACTGTAGTCGTTCTCCCCTTTTTCATAGCTTAGACTTTTAACAGATTCTTTCATGCACTCTTCTTTTTGTTTGTTTTTACTTAACCAACTCTAATATAAACACCTGTAAACTCCTTCTCAAAAAGGTCTTGTATTATGTTTATATGCCTTCCTAATTCAGCTATACTGCCTTTGGCACTACAAAGGATATTTGTTATGAAATGTTTGGTGACACTTCTGACAATAAGGCTCTTCTTTTGTCAAAGCCCCCAAAACCGGAAAACACTTTCTTTTGACTTATGGCTGCTTTCCAAAAAGGTAAAAAAATGATCCACTAGACTTTGTTTCTAGGTTTGAAGATGTTTCGTTTCCCATCCAGGAAGCTTTGTTTTGGCTTAGATAACATGCAAATTGAACTGGATCAAGAAAAATTTGGGTTCTTTGTTAGCCTGAGCTGTAACACAAACGACTGCCAATTCCTATGGGCGGACCCATTCGTCCGGTTCAGTTTGCATGTTTTTTAAGCTAAAATAAGGCTTTGTTTTTGTTCCACTCTATAAAGCCTTGAACTCAACGCTATTTCTGACATTTTTGAATTGAAAAAGATTCCAGGATGGGAAGCAAACCATCTTCAAACTTGGAAACAAAGTCCAGTGGATTGTTTTTGAACTTTTTTAAAATGACTATGACCTGGATGACTGAGAATCTTCACCAGCTTATAGTTAAAAAATGCAACTACTGACAAATCTAGTAACTTTTTTGTGTTGTTGGAGACTTCGACCAGAGTCACCCATATATAATATATGATTCACCCATAGGTCTGGGTTTAGTGTCCTCAGTGAGTGTTGAGTGCTGCTGTTCTCCTCTTCCTCTTCCAAAGCACAGACAGGTAGTCAGACTCAGCCGTGAACCGTCCCTACAGTCAGAGAGAGAAGAGCGACTTCATTCTGTTATCCAAACTAAATACGTCGCACATGGGCAAAGCTTTCACTGATCCTCCTCAATCGTAATGTTTTTTTTCATTGAATCTAAAATGAATCCCTCCCTGCATTTATTTATACACAACCTAATTCTCTATATCCCTCTGCTATCGGTCTTTAAGTTCAACTTTATAACATAACATTATTAAATTCTGCTGTTTTGATTCAGGTAAAATATTATTAGATGCTACAAATTCTTTTTATAGTTTATCTTTAGTATTAATCTCTCCCGTTCTGTGGGCATTTTTGTTTCTTGTCACTGCAAAAACCATCTAGAAATAAGTAAAAAATTCCTAAATTAAGTGTATTCACTCTTAATTTGAGTAGGTAAATGAGATAGTTTGCCAATGGAATGAGAAATGTTACTCTTAAAATAAGATAATTAGATAATATGCACTTGATATAAGAGAATGCAATTGTGTTTTCTTATTTTAAGTGTTAATTGTCTTGTTCCATTGGCAGAATGTCTCTTTTTTCACCTCAATTCAAGAACAAATGCACTTATTTTAAGAAAAAAATGACTTATCTAGATTTAGATTTTTTGCAGTGTGTTAATTATGTGAAAAGTCTGTCCATAGATGCTCGAGTGGTTTCTAACTGAATAAAGTATTTGGTACCTTGGCGGCGCCAAGGTGCATCAATGACTTCATGCCTACCGATGGTGATTGATGGCTCACATTCACCATTTATTACGCACTAAACACCTAACGGACTACATGCTAAGATTTTCTCATCTCTCATCAAAATAATGTTGTAATTGTCACAGTCGAGGAAAATAACAGTTAGGAAGGTGTTAAGCCGCACCCACGTGGGCTCCATACTGCAGAATAAATTAAATGAAGAGTGCTTGGGAAAACTTGATGCTCTATACAGTAGTAGCCATTCAAATTTTCCTGACTTTCCTTGATGGGCCATTGGCTAGTCCCTTACCATTCCTTTTTAAACATCAATCTTTGTACTAAAATATTCTTTCTGTCATGATTCATGGACATTAACATCTAATGTCTCCTGGTCAGACCCTGTAATTCAGTGAAAGGGTGAAATCAGAGTAAAAAAACTGCATTCCCAGAAGAAGGCCAGTGGCTGGAAGTTGGAGGGGATTCTGCTAGGAGTCGCACGGAAGTGGGCTGCCATTCGGCTGAAGTTTGACTGGGAAGGGCCATTTTAAATGGCTGCTACTGTAGTTGTGAAAGCTTGTTGTTCTTCTTGCAGTCATCTGGGATTTTTACCATCCACTGTGATTTTTGTTTTGATTGGTACTCAAACGTTTTAATAATGAGATAAATAATGGCACTGATCTGCTGTATAGTTTTTCAAATTGTGAACCTGACCATTGGCTGTAACTTTTAAAACTGGCTGTGCAAACACTGTTTCCATGGACGGTTGGTTAACTGGAGTTTAGCAGTTGATTGACATTTCTTTCCTGGTTTTATGTTCAGGTGCTCATGATGGGGGAACCCTTCTTTAACTGCCAGATCGGATTCGTCGGCTGCCGGGCTCTGTGCCTGAAAGGCATCATGGGAGTTCGAGACTTTGAAGAAAATCTGAACAGACGTGAGGAGGTAAAAAAAAAAAAGCATGGAAGATCTGGAGGACAACTTGGAAAAAAAAAAAAATAATAAATTTGCTTTCCAAAAAATTCACTGCAAAATGTTTTGGCCTAATTCTTAGCTTATATCTTGTAAAAAAAAGTGTTGTTTTTAACTTGTTTCAAGATTGATTATTAATCTTCTTTTAAGAATATTCTGCTCAGAAATAAGAGCAATAATTTGTGGATTCAGTAACACTGATTCACTTGGTTAGACTTCTTGAAATCATCATATCTGTTCTCTAAACAGGAAGTCTAAGTGAAATTGTCTTATTGCACCGGCAGATTATTGCACTTATTCTGAGCAGAATGTTCTTTAAATAAGATTAACGATCTTGTTTTATCATATTGATCTCAAACCAAAATCAAAATAACTTCTTTTAGATTTCAGATTATAAGACTTGCAACATTTAGTCATATATGGGGTGAAAAATACATTTTTATTTTAGTCTTAATCTGCTTCATCTTTTAAATTCTTACATTAAAGCCCCCCAACCAGCTCATCATTTCTTCTCCTTAAAGGATGCAGTGTTCTTCAGCTGTGGAGACAATCTAAAGAGTAAAGGAATGACCTACCTTACCAACTCCTTGTTTGACTACCGCAGTCCAGAGAACAATGGAGTAAAAGCAGAGTTCATCCTAGACTCTGCTAATCACAAGGTAACTATAACCTGCACAGACCTACAGAGCTCAGAGATGAGTTGGTGTTTATTTTAAGACGGATGCTGAGAAGAGGACAGCTTTTTGGTTGTGTCCAACTTGAAACATGATCGTGGCTGAATTGGTTCTACTGTAAATGAAATAGCTGAGCTCACCTCGCTGGAAGGGTCCCGCTAAAATCTGTTAATAATCCTCATCTCTCTTGACCCTCCATCCCCCCAGCAGCATGTTGACTCTTTCAAATGTTCATGACCCTCAATAAAGCTGCGTTTGGACGTCCATCCATCCTTCCACCCCCCCTTCTGTTTGTACTTGGAAGTTTTAGACTAACTAGAAGGTTGGTGGAGTTAAATCATCATTTAGAAACCAGGCTGACTTTGATCCAGCAGCCTGCCCAATCCATTAGAAATCCCCTAATAAATATTAATCATTAACCTTCTCCCTGATAAGCTGGGCTGTTGGGTAAATGTTAGCCGGGGTGTTGAATGGGAGGAATGAACGTTTGTTTAATCCTTTCAGTGGTTTTGTCATTCAGAATCAAACTTTCTAACGTTGTTTAGCACGAGCGTCTTACCTTCTGACCTTTTGACTAACGAGCAACATATAACGTTTAGAAAAACACATTTTCTTACAGGGGCTTGAAAATAAATTTATTTAAAAAAAAAACAGCAGCTTTATTAGGTTTAACTTTTACTCGTAAATTTTTGTTATTAAGTAAAAATCAAACTGATTTTTTTGGAGGGCGTTACTTAGTTAGTGTTTACATTTCCTGGATGCTTGAAACTTGGCTTCAACTGTTAAGCTTTATTTTACTATTTCTTCTTTCAATATATTTATGATGTAATGAAATGAGTTTATTCAGAGTGAATCTGTATTTTCTGTGTTATTTATTAGGTAAAATCCAGACAAGTATAAGGCAAGTTATCGTTTTTGATTAGTTGCATGCCCCTTACAAATGGAGTCCCATCATCCCTCAGTGAGGTCTAGAAGCACAAGATCTATATCCAGACATTCAGAAAAGATGCTGCTACATAACTGGACATCTTTTTTTTTGCATTTGACCAATTAGATGAGCCCTTGAATGATATATTTCCTACTGTAAATTAAGTTTAAAAAAAGATTTAAGTAGTCAAGAAAAAAAAGGTAAAAAGCTAAAATGTGGTTTACCAAAAAAATGTATTTCCTTCAGTCTCAGAGTTTTTTTTCATGAATTTCTTATAGAAGTACTTGAGTTATTTTTCTTAAAATATTCGCACAAGTTGGTGTTTCTTGTTATTACATTGACGTAGATTTTTTGCCATCAAAATATCCATATTTTTAAATGTTACGAAGGCAATAAGGTCTTGTCCTGGATTCCAAGCTTGAAATTTTGATTTTCAAAGTATTTCACTGAGTGCCCTATAAAGGGTTAATAGTTAGAAATGCTTAAAGGGTGAATAAAGTAGGATTTTCTGTTATTAACCAATCTCTTCTTGCAGTAAAGTATAAGACATGTTTTGCCAATTTAGATTCAAATTAACCGCAAAGTTTTCAGCTTTGTCAGTTGAGAAACTTATAAAATGTACATTTCCTTTCATTTACAGTTTTATGTCTTTCTAAGTTTCTGTGATTTGTATTTTTTTTTTATTGGGCCATTCAGAGAAACAACAAACCAAAAGCAAATGTTCAGCTAAGTAGTTGTGCCACTCAATGGCTTTTTATCTCTGATGTGACCCCCACTACCATATCTCCCTTGACCCCCCAGTCATTGCCACTCTTAGAGGCTATCAGTCTGTTTGCTGCCTTGTTGCCATGTTTACCTAACTGGACTTTTTGTGTGATAGGAGACCTACACAGAGATAGCGGGCATGCAGCGCTTTGGGGCTTTCTACATGGATTATCTCTACACAATGGAGAACAGCAGCTCCAAAGGTATCGCTTCATTTCTTCCTCCCTAACAGAGCTTGTTTGGTCGCCTTTCCTCCTCTCTCCTCTATATCTGTCATCTTCACTCTTCCTCTCCTGCTTCTCTCTCCATCCCCCTTTCTTTCTTTCTGATCCCTTTTTTCTTTTCTTCTCTCTGTCAACTGGGCCCACTCAAGACTTGAAGAAAGACCCCTCCTTGTTTAGTTCGCAGCCACCTGGTCCTTGACCCTCCCTGTCCTCACTCTCACCCCAAACTTACCTGCGGGGCAACTGTCAGAAGTGTTTAGTCTAGGCTGACACATATTTGAGTTTCTCTTTCCTTATTGCTTGTTGAAACAATGCCCTCCCCCCCTTGTTTTTACCTGTAAGCTGTTGAGAAAGTGAATTGGCCCCACTTGCCTAATTAGATGTCACTCTTCCTGGCAGAAGTCGTATGATGGGTAAAGTTCCTCATTCCTTAGCAGCAGCAGCACTTAGCAGATCTGAAGATCCAATTAATAGATAAAACGTCTTTCCTTCAATTGGAAATGTTAGATTTGGACCAAAAACATCTCTTTGTTGATTTTCCTGGCTGGAAGATTTTTGTTGATTGGTTGATAAAAATCTCTTTTGCCTGTTGGCCTCTATCTGACACAGTGGCAGTAGTCCAGACAGTATCCTCAGCAAACTAAACATGGACGCTAACTTTCTGTTTAAATTGTTTTCCTGTTGATTGTTTCCAACCAGGGATAATTATCTAAATGAAAAACAGTGGTTATAAAACATATTTCTAAATAGATAATTTTTTTTTCTCCATGCGGCAGCTATGGTCGCTCTTGTCTGGTGGAGGGAATCTTAATGAACATAAACCGATCCAGCGTTAACCAAACAAATGACTCTGCATCCTGACAAAAGTAATTTGGTTTCATTGTCGCTGTTTTCTCAAATTATATTTCTTACACATTTAAGTTTCAGATTAGATTTTCTTCTGATTTCTCTTTTTTTAGATAGCTTTTTACAAATTGGATTCTTTTCAAATTGCTTTTTACACATTGCATTCTCTTTACAGTTGTACGGAAGTCATATTTAACTGCCCAATCATTCTGGATTAAACAGGTATATAAATGTACTCATTATCAGATGATATTGTCCCAAAATTTAGAACATCTCTATCTAAAACAAATCCACAGTCTTAAAATCTGTGGGGTTTTTTCATTATCTTATGCAGGCCAGTTAGTTATACGTTAGTCTGAACACCTAAATTCGGCCAATCATATATCGGTCATCTGTCAATAAAATTTTTTCAGTCATAGTATCTTGATTCAGATGTTGCAGCTAATAAATGCAACGGTTGAAATAAGAAA